TTGTGGCGTACATCGGGCAAAAAGCCAAACACGCTTCTCAAAGGACACTTCACGGGGCAAATTGCTGGATACCTGGTGCTGTGGAACTGGGTGAAGACGAGTGTGTTCAAGCTACAGCAGCGGGCCCTCGAATTCTGGGTGTTCGGTTTAGAGGCGGCCCTTCAGACCGTGGATGTCAGCCCTGGCAGGCCGTGGTACTGTTACAAGAGTTACAGGTTACAGAGTTACAAGTTACAAGAGGCGCATGGGCAGCTGACTGACAGCCTACTAAGGAATTTCGGAGGAGGTTGACGGAGAGCACAGGATGAGTGTGGGCAACAGAGTGGCATGGGAAGGGCGGCAATTGGGAGTTCCCGGCTTCCACAACCAGAGGAGCGCAAGTCGAAGCCCAGTGGGTGCGGGCTACCAGGGCCTAGTAAACCCGGGACTGGGAACGGTTCACGGTGGGGGGGGCCGCGGTGGACCGCGGCTGAGCCCGCCTGCTAGCGTAATGGTGGCCATAAACCAGGAGCTGGGTCGGCGGGGATGTCACAAGGGGCGTAGTTCCTAAAGGGGAGCTCGGCGCCCCTTGGATGTTTTGGTCCCGAGTTGCTCAATCCGTAAGGAGAGGGAGGGGTAGGCACCGAACGGGTCCGGTAGAGGCAAGGGAAACCCGCAGAAGGGACCACCACCCCACAGGTCACAGAAGTCACGTAGCCGCAGTTTGCCAGTGTCATGGCCACGGTAGCTGGTGTGCCACATGAATTGGCAGCACAACATATCGCGTAGCAACAGCAGGCGGGCTAGGGAGGCGGTGGAAGCCTGGAATCTGGACCAGAGGTGACCCATGAGGGTGGTGAAATCGCGAGGGCTAAGGGGCACGGCTGCTTGCTCCTTGTAGCCACGGTCGGCGGCGAGACGACTATAGCCAGTCTTGTAGGAGGACAAGGTACTGGAGCAGCAGGGGTTGCCGATGCCGGTCCCACGGTCGTAAGTACACTAGTGCTGCCACGGCCCAAGCGGTTAAACAGTCCAGAGAGCAGACCCAGATGATTGTTGACGGTGTTGGGACTTGGATCGTCCACATGCCGGTTGGGGAGCCAGTGGGCCTCCAAGTAGATGAGCAGGTCGTCATCAGTGCAGGACAGCAGGGTACAACCATGGGGCAGGGTGGCCAGCCAGGCAAAGAGGTCACGACCAGCAGCCTCCTGGCAGGCAATGGTTTCACAAGCCAACGTATTGTTGCAGACTGTGGCGGCCTTCACGAGGGTGATGGTATAGACCTGGCGGCTGGAAGGCAGATCCAGTACGGTGGAGGGTACAGAAGTGGGGCTGACGCGCACGGCCAGGATCTGGGGCAGGGTAGGCTCCGGCAGTGCCTGGATGGCAGAAGAAGATAGGTGAGGTAGGCGTGACGGGAAGAGGGGACAGGACCCAGGCGCGGGGCATGCCTACCGAGTGGGCAGCGTCAGAGAGGCCGGGAGCCTGAGACAAGTCCAGAGTGGGGATCAGGCCCACGGAGGAGGCGAGGGGGTAGGGACCCCGAGGGGCAAGGAAGGATGGAAATAAGGAAGATGATGAGCCAAGGAGAAGGGCCCCAGGTAGGGCCGGGGAAGGCGAGGAAGGCCTACCCGGCACCGGACAGGCAAGGTGTTGGTCCTGCATTCAGGTAGGCAGGCGTAAGAGAGGGCAGGAAGAAGCAGCACGCAGGGAGATGGGGTGCGCACCTGGTAGGCAGAGGACCCGGTCGAGTGAGGAGGAGTCACATAGAGGAGACATAACAGCGGCGAAGGGGAACACCGCTTCTGTGAAGAAACAGAGGCGGGGTGGAGGCGAATGGGAATGGCAAAAGTAGCGGCGAGCACAGTTTACCTGAGGGACGAGCCGAACTAGAGGTAACGCAGCAGGTAACTGGTAGCAGGGAACTGGTAACGAGGTGGGAAATATGAGTGGTAGATAGAAGGCGGACGGCGTGAGGCTGGAGGCTTACGTTTTCTGTTGGCGATGATTGCATTAGGTATATTTTGTACTCGCTACTCGATTGCTTGGCCCTTGCCTGTCCGGTGCCAGGTAGGCCTTCCTCACCTTCCCTGGCCCTACCTGGTGCACCTCTCCTCGGATCGTCACCCTCCCTCTTTCCGTCCTTCTCTGTCCCTCGGGGGCCCTGCCACCTCGACCCTTCCATGGGCCTGGTTCCCCCTCTGGGCTTGCCGCAGGCTCGTGGCCCCTCTGTTGCTGCCCACTCGGTAGGCTTGCCCCGTGCCCGGTCCCACCTCCTCTTCCCGTCACACATACCTCACTTATTTCTTTCTGCCATCCAGGCACTGCCGGAGCCTACCCTGCCCCAGATCCTGGCCGCGCGTGTCAGCTCCACCTCTGTACCCTCCACTGTACTGGACCTGGCTTCCAGCCGCCAGGTCTATACCGCAGCTCTCGTGAAGGCTGCCACAGTCTGCGACAACACGTTGGCTCGTGAGACCATCACCCGCCAGGAGGCTGCCGGTCATGATCTCTCTGCCTGGCTGGCCACCCTGCCCCATGGCCGTACCCTGCTGACCTGCACTGATGACGACCTGCTCGTCTACCTGGAGTCTCACTGGCTCCCCAACCGTCGTGTGGACGATCCAAGCCCCAACACCATCAACAACCATCTGGGTCTGCTCTCGGGGCTGTTTAACTGATTGGGCCGCGGCAGCACCTACGACCGTGGAACCGGCATCGGCAACCCTTGCTGCTCCAGCGCCTTGTCCTCCTACAAGACTGGCTACAGTCGCCTCATCGCCGACCATGGCTACAAGGAGCAAGCAGCTGTGCCCCTCAGCCCTCGCGATTTCACCACCCTCATGGATCACCTCTGGCCCAGGTTCCAGGCTTCCACCACCTCCCTAGCCCACCTGCTGTTGCTACGCGACATGTTGTGCTGCCAATTCATGTGGCACACCAGCGACCGTGGCCATGACACTGGCAAGCTGCGGCTACGTGACTTCCGTGACCCGCGGGGTGGTGGTCCCTTCCACGGGGTTTCCCTTGCCCCTACCGGACCCGTTCGGTGCCTACCCCTCTCCTTACGAGTCGAGCAACTTGGGACCAAGACATCTAAGGGGTGCCGAGCTCCCCCTTTAGAACTGCACCCCGACCCCTCTCTGCGGCATTGCTTCATCCAAACTCTAGCCCTCTATTGGCCCCCCAGGGTCCGCCATCTCTGACTACCTCTTCCGTCCCACTGATCGGGGTCACCAACGCTTCGTGGAGCGCCCATTTTCCAGCAGCACCTTGGCCATGCGAGTGGGCAAACACCTGGAAGGGGCTGGTGTCTACGTCGGGCAAACCCCTCACGGGTTTCGCCGTGGCACTATCCAGGCCACTCAAGCCGCTGGCGCCTCCCGCGAGGATCTCCACATCTTCTCCCAGATCCGCAGCCCCCAAGTCCTGGAGCACTACACCGACGCCTCTCGGCCCACTCGTGTCCCTCGCGGCTCCGGTCCCAAATCCTAGCCCCAAATCCTAGTCCCCAAGGGAAGGTTTCTTCGTCCCAAGCTCTACAGCTACAAAGTTTAACGCACTGGATTTAGCGCTTTGTTCCCAGCTAATCTTTGTAACAAGCTACCTATCAGTCCCTGTCCTCTGCCCAGCTCTGGGCTGCGAATTCCTGCACCGCACTTGCCGTACCGCACTACAGGACGAGCACTTAATCAACATGCAATGCGTCTGTGACCACACTCCCGCGGTACCCAAACCCTTCAAAGATAACTCCGACCAGCCCCAAACACACCGTGGAGCGGTCTCCCCTTCCCCACTCACTTCCCAGGTGGTAACCCTGGGTCCTCTCGCTCACCAGCTCCTCCTCCCCTTGGCCCTTGTGACATGTGCCAGGCCGGTATTTCAGGAAACAATTAAAGTACCTAGGATGGATGCAGAGGCGCCGCATAAATAATAATGGCAGGTCACCGGCTGGAGGCAGTGCAGTTCTCTAACCACCGCAGCGCTGCTCAGCACAGCGGCGTCGTTAAGTTAAGCACGGCTCTTGACTGCGGTGGGATACTGGAATGCCCAGCTAATGCACCCTACCCACACTTATCAACGGCCTGCGAGTGGTGGGAAAGGATGGCAAGCGGCGCCTCTGCATCCATCCTAGGTACTTTAATTGTTTCCTGAAATACCGGCCTGGCACATGTCACAAGGGCCAAGGGGAGGAGGGGCTGGTGAGCGAGAGGACCCAGGGTTACCACCTGGGAAGTGAGTGGGGAAGGGGAGACCGCTCCACGGTGTGTTTGGGGCTGGTCGGAGTTATCTTTGAAGGGTTTGGGTACCGCGGGAGTGTGGTCACAGACGCATTGGCCTTCCCCACAGAAAGTTAGTAGGGAGTACGGATCACGCGATGACGTTTAAGCACTAAACGACATATGGAGGCATCCCGGCGCCGCTGTAAAAACTGTTTCTTAAAATTGCGATTTTTCCTTATTGTGCGGGAGGCGTCTCTTGGAGCGCTGCACTCGACCCAATCGTTGTCCATTGTACCATTCACGACCTGGCGGTGTATTGTGATGTGAGAAGAACGATCCTGCATCACCATTTACCTTCGCGCAACATGAAAAAAAATTTAAATCATTCTGGATTTCTCTTAAAGTTAAAAGGTAAACTTAAAAAAACTGTTCACCCCCAAACACCAAAAAGAAAAAGAAAGCCACACCACCAGAAGCTTCTGCTTAAGCACTCACCACCACCACGTGCAAAAAGGAGTCCCAGTCAGCACACGTCCCAGTTCTCCCCCAGGTCCTCTCATGCCCGAAAGATACCAAGGCCCCTCAACACTTTCCCGCATATGTGCCTTCCCCGCCTCACCACCCCAACGCCACCTCTCAATCCCTTCATTCCCTCCATTTACCACAACCCCCACCACCACTTCCCCCATCACCACCCCATCAACCCGTTCCGTTCCCCCAAACCACATAATGATCTCCTTCCCCAGTTAGAATACAGTTAAAAACAGTTAGTCCGGCAACCAACTAATAACCGTCTCCTTATAGCAGCCGTGCGACATTGGTGAAGATGTTCTCCCCAGCTGGATCCGAGACGAACTCCATGACGTTCTGTACAGGACCCTTTTTCGTAACGGCTGCCTGTACGAATAACCCCAGCATTGCCACCATCGCCAGCCGCCCGTTCTTAATCTCCCGGACTGCCTGCACGTGTGGGGGAGGTGCGGGTGGAAGGGGTACGATGCGACAGGAGGAGGGGATGGAGGAGAGGGGATGATATGCCACCTGCGAAATTGGACACTGCTTTTCGACATTGAGGTGATAGAGGGGGAGGGAGGGAGGGCTGAAACAAAAAGGGGAAAGCACAACAGATTACGGCACATTGCAGTTCAAAAGCGCACAGCGATAAGAGGGGCAGTAGCGATAGGGGGCAGTGAGTGAGCTTGCACCCCTGCCCAGCCTCTCACCATCACCCGCCCGCGCATAGACATGATCATACCTCGTAACATATAACATCGTGCATACAAAACACAAGACACAGCTACTAGTATTACTGCTGCTACTGCACACCTTACCTAGCCCCCAGCTGGGGTTCCCAAACCCCCAAAGCGGTTCATTCTCGGTTTTAGACGTCGGGACAATCAATACCTTGTTGCTGCTGCTGCTGCTTTTCATCATCAGTATTAGCATGTTATTTCTGGCCAGCCCAAACCATACCACACACATACACATATACACACACGCGTGCATGCAGACAGACACACAGACAGACACACAAACAGACACACAAACAGACACACACCTGGTCCACGAAGCCGTCAGCATCCGCCGCGTAGTTGAGTGGGTCGAAGGGGCCACCCCCCGGGTAATTCTGGTCACCGGGGAGAAACACACCCACGGGCTCCAGAGAGCGAATGCCCACGTATCTGCCGTACAGTCCAAGGAAGAGCATAGGGGTATGTGGAGGTAAGGGGAAAGAGGTGGGGGGTTTAGGTTAACTTAGAGTGGCTTCCTTTGCACACAAGCGGTGTGATCCAATTTTGGCATTTGGGTTGGTGCTGGACCATGCGTATGTCTGTATGTCTGTATATACATCAGGTGTGATGAGAGCGCTGGTTTATGTTTTTTTCGTTTTCCTTTTGTGTGTTACTGCCCCACCCGGCATAGCAACAACCCTCTCCAACCACCTCCTCACTCCCATCTCCCCCCCAAACTTTTCCTCTCCCCAAAAGCACAACACACACACACGCCCCTCCCCTCCGCGGGGTCCACCCCACCTGGCGTACTCGGGGCCCCCCATCAGTACGGCCTGACATGCGGCAATCAGCCCAATGCCCTGCTTTCCAGCTATCCTGAAGCCCTCGATACCGCCCCAGTTCAGCGTGAGATCGGAATTCAGCTTGGAGGCGCCCACCTGGTACGGGGAGGGGGAGGGGGAGGGGGAGGGGGAGGGGGAGGGGGAAAGACGAACCACGAACGAGTGAAGCTGCTGCCAAGGAAAGGGTGTACAAGAAGCAGAACTGACCAGTAGGCGGTTTTGAAGGAGGCGACCCCGGGATGATGTAATGACGATGACCGCGGAAACCTACCTACCTAGCCGCCAAGACTAAAACAAGAGCGGAAGAGCAGCAGTAGAACGAAGCCGTAAAAAAGTAAGGGTTGGTGTAGAGGCGGCGAAAAAGATGACGTGAGCTTAGGTAAAAGATCAAAAACACCCGAGTTATCAAAGCCCGAGAGGCGACACAGCCACGAACAAAAACACAGCAGGATCGGAGTGTGGGGGGGAGATTATATGGGGGAAATTATATGATATGCCAAAAGGCAAAGTGTATGAAGGGTTCAGCTCCCTTGGCATCTCCCTGAGTACTCTTTGCCTGGTGTTACACAAAGTAAAGGAAAGCAACTGCCGACGCCGAAAATTGCAAACTGCTGGAGGGGCCAAAAGCGATGAAAAGGGTAATACCGTGCGGTGTACACTCAAGAGGGGGAGAGAGGGGGGGAGACGAACCACGAGAGAGGGAGGGAGGGAGAGAGAGAATTGTGTGTATGTGTGTGTATGACACGTAGCCGCCGGGTTATCGACACACCTTTTCCCCTCTCCCCCCTCCTCACCCACCCACCTTCCACCACACAGGCTCCCCCAGCTCCACACCCCTCAGGGCCAGAAGCTCCGGAACCATACACCCCACGAAACCCAACATGGCCCAACGAGCATGGAGCAACTCCACTTCCCGGAACCTGCGCGCGCATGTACGTAAGTGTAACTCTGTAAGTAGGTTTGTATGTATGTGTGCCACAGACATGTACGACGTACCTGGCAAAGGCGCCGGGGTCCTTTCCCAGCTCCAGGGGGTCGAACCCCGCATCGCCCGCCTCTTCGCCGTTCAGGTGCTGGGCACCACCCAAGGGACCCGGCAACCTTGGACGAGATGCACCGTACCTGGGAAACGGCCCGTGTACGACACAGTACGACACACCACAATACGACATATCGAGGCGCATACTGATAGTGTACGGTTAGTGCTGCAAATCCCCTGAAGACGGACGCGGGGACACGAGGGTAGGAGGTTTGGCAGTAGTGTGTGTGTGTGTTTGGAGGGGGGGAGGACGAGTAAAGGCAGACGGTATATATATGCCCATAACCCCACACCCCGGTCAAAATGCTCACGTCCACGCCCCAACCCCCCCACGGACCTCCTACACGCACGCGCTTACCATTTGCTCCGCTGCCGCGCCTGCTGGTGTGCTTGCCGCTGCCTTTCAGCCTCGGCTCGGAGCTCGGGCAACCGCGCCTCTAGCTGCTGCTGCACCTGCGCACGTGTGTGCACGTGTGTGTACAGTAAGTACGTATGTATGTGTGGTGTGGGATAGTGGGGGTATGTGTTGAGTGTGTGAGAACAAGCGGGAACGGCGAGTTGGCACGTGCCCATGTCGCTAACGAGAGGCGTAGGAGAAGCCCAAACCAACAAAACGGGGAGCGGAAAACTACATCTCCCTCTCGCGCGTGTGTGTGTATGTATGTATGCACCCTCCCCTCCCTCCTCTTTCCCTCCCCCCAGCGACCCCCCATCTCAAAGCTCACCTGCTTTCCCACACTGCTCTTGCTGAGGGCCGTCAGGGCCGTAATGGGCAGCGCCGCGAATACAAAGATGGTGCCGCCGTCCTCGCCTGTGGAGGCCACCAGCTGGATAGCCACCAAGCCTTGGACCCACCATCACCATTACCACCACCACCACCACCACAAGCGCCACCGTTAGGCGGCAAAGCCGTGACCCGTGAATGACGCCATCATTACGGAAGCAGTGTTCAATACATGGCGCACCAACCGGAAAGGTTGTATAATACATTTTACTCTTCAACTTAAACGTTGATCATCTAGCTGTTATGTTCCCCCCCTCCTGGTCCGCCATGGATCGTTACTTTTGCAGGGTTTGCGAGTTTCCCACCCACCCACGACTCAGGACTAACCCATGGTTCGTCAGCATTGACCTTGGCCGCAACATCACTGTGTGGTGGTCGTATGCGGCCCGTGGGTCGATCAGCATCGGAAAAGATCTACCGACGGGTTAGCACGTGCTTGAAGAAAGAGGGAGGGATGACCCATGGGTCGGCTCGTCGTAAGGTGTCTTCTCTCCAATACATATTAGCGACCCATGGGCATTGACTGTGATTTGTTACGACGACTTCAGATCAATTACCAACCCCACTGCGGTAGCTTCCGTGTGATGCGAAATCTCTCTGTATCCTCTCCCTCACTTTCCCCCTGCTCTCACCCGCAACGAGGTAAAACAACGGAGACGCCACCACCTCTGCAGCCAGCTTGGCCGCGCGGGTGGTGAGAGTCTCCGGTGCCGTCGCCGCCTCCTGCTCCTGTCGCTGCTGATGCTGATGCTGAGGCTGAGGCTGAGGCTGTAACGTTGGATCTCCTCCTTGCTTGATCGGTTGTGGCCGTTGCTGCAGACGAGGGCGGGGGCCATCCGTCCCGCCGGCTATGTCCGGCCTCTCGGGTCCCTGTAGTGCAGTGGGATGTGTGTGCCCGAGAGAAGGGGGACAAGGTGCGGGGAGTGAGGGGTTAATGGAAAAACACATAGGTGCCAGATAGATGGCAGGGGGGATGTTGGGGGAGGGGCCAGGCGGGACGCGGTGGGGATTAGGGGAATATTCTGTAGAACTGAGATGGAAGCGAGTGAAGGGGCGAGAGTAGCTGGGATGGGGACAGGCGCGTGGAGGGGGCGGAGACCTGGTAAAGGTGTACGGGTTCGGAAGGATGTTTACGTGGGCTCGGGGACCTCGGGGACCTGGGAAGGAAAGCCCTCTTCGACCGTGATTAGGACAGGTGCCCCTCTCGTAATAGTAAGAGGAGTAAGGTAATCAAGGACACCCATTAAGGAGGTATAACATCTACAAGGTGTTCGCGCTGGCAGCTAGGAGCAAGCCGATAGTAAACGCTTTAAACACTCATGTGCAAATGATGTGGCGTGGCCTGAGGCTGGGTCAGGTGACGTTCTTAAGCATGAAATGGAAAGTAGAGCTACCCAGCCCCGCCCCCTGCTGGATGACCGGCGCGGCATTGGACGTACCTGCGCCAACCTCCGGAGAAATGGGGCCCGCCTTAGCGAGAAAGCATGAGGACACCGATAGGCCGTACCGCTTTTAATGAGAGGACAAGCTCGCATCTTCATGAGATACAGATGATTTCGCTGATGATTTCGCGAGTTAAGCACAGAAGCGCTGCGATCGCCGCGCTGTGCGTTTTGGACAGGTTGCGCCTACTGTGAATCACTTTTGTCACGGGCAAAAGTCTTAGAACTGACTTGGGCACTTGGCAACGGCTGGTCTAAACTCCGTACAATTGGCACCTGTACGTGTATCCCTTCGACGTATAGAAGTTCTGACGACGTTCAGATAGATCCGTAGCCTGCGAAAAAAACTCTTACTCATGTGTTTGAAGTTTTTATTCGAAAATGGGGATTTCGAGTCCCGGAAGCTATGCGCTGGCTTTCCGGCGATTAGAGCACCGCATATGCCAAGAGTGGAGTGATGTGTTGTGTTGCAACTGGAAGGCTGGGGCCTCGTTCCTGTGAACTTGCAAAGTCAATACTATGAGCGACAGCCAGTCGTTGGCTAGTCGTGAGCTAACCGTAAAGCAGCCCCCACGCCATGGTAAACTTTCAACTCCGGTTCTAGCTTGTGTAGCAAGCCCAAGCCCTGCAAAGTCAAAGCGGCGCCCAGCGACAGAGCGTCCGTCTTTGCCGACAGCAAATGTGGCGCCAGTCAAGCTGCCCTCCGAGCTTTTTGCGATTGCGACAAGTAGGAGCAGCCAGGGCGACTTGGCTCTCGGCAAAGCAATCGATGGAATTCAGGCAGCGGTGAGGCAAACCGCAAAGGATGTGTTGGCATCTACAAGCGGGGATTGAGCTCGGCTTTCAATCGCCCCGCAAGCGATTACCTATGGTTTAGGCCAACAGATGTATCCCTGATCTATGAATCATTAAAACGCAGGCAACTCGCCTGGAGACGGAGCGCACCAAGTTGGTCATACAAAGCCAAGAGCTCCAGATTTGGGATATGGCGCGAGAGGAAGAGCTGGTGCTATTAAGGGTAGGCTCTGGTATGACGGGCAAACTTTACAAGCCATTACTTTTGCATCCATAGGGCAGCTAGTACTGCCAGCAGGGTTTCAGTAACTCGGGAATCCGTAGGGCATTTTTGCAAACGAAGCCACCCTTTATCTCATCCAACGGAAGCCCATACATTATAGCCATTGTGAACCACATCCGCTCCAAGGACAAGACCTGGCTATCGACGGGGCCTCACGCAAAGCACGTCTACGCCATAATGCGCCGTGTGTAACCTTCTCCACCTCCCCAGCCCTTCAAGCGGTCGCTTCTTTCACACTGCTGTGAGTCATTCCCCTTGGTGTGCTGGACCAACACAGGCTGAGAATGAGCAGCTGGAGCAGCAGCTCGCCACGGTGGCGGAGAAAGTCGGCAAGGTGAGCAACGTCTTTTCGTGCCCCTTGGCGGCGCGCGCTGGCGTCCTGACGCAGCGCGGACGCAGGCTCTGTTGTAGACATGCACAGAATGCCCATGGCTGTCATGCTAGCAGGCTGAACCGAACATGTCGAATGGAATGTGCTGCTGGTAAACTCACGCATGCGGTGCTCTTGCGCGCCGAACTGAAGCCTGCTGCTGCATCCGTTTCTTCTGCGGCACACGCCGTTCGGCTTAGGGCCTCGGTCGCGACGGCGTGCTCGAAAGCCTCCAGTATGCGCTTCGCAAGGCGCGCACGGAGCGTGATGCGGAGATGCGCGAGGCGGACTCATTGTTTAACCAGTTACAAGAAGCCAAGGCGGCGGCCATGGTGGGTGGGTTTGTGGGACGTAACATGCAAAAGTTGGTGGGTGGGTGAGTTCCGCCTGGGTGGTAGATGCCATGCGAGCCAGCCGTCGCCTTTCCTTTTTCCCATTCACTTTTCCTTGGGAAGAATGACCGTGCCCTGGAGGGCGCGAGGCGCTTGCAAAGCCATTTTCATCGTCAATTTTGTACCAGTGTGCGTGCGTGACGATGATTGCTGTCCTGCGGCTCCAGGAGCTTCAAGAGCTGCGGGGTGCCATCGGCTCCGCGCTCAATGGCCTGGAAGACGAGTGGAGCGCCGTTCCGTTGCTGTCTGAGGAGGTGCGGGCGCTCCGCGCACGGGCCGACGCGGGTAAGTGTGCTGCAGGGCGCATTGGAGAAACCCGCAGCCGGAACCTCACCATGATGCAAGTATGTTGGCAAGCCAGCGCCTGGTGGCGGTATGCGTCTGTTCCTGGGCCGTGTCATGTTCTGCAGCAGTCAGCAAGCACCAGCGGACAGAAAACTGGTTTTTAAGAAAGCGAAAGGACCGACACGGATTGATCGCGTGTTCCGTATAAGCTTTCCGATGTACTGTACCTGCGAAGTGGTTCTTGCTTGTTGGGAAAAAAGCTAGGAAGCTTGGGCAAAGCTGAAGAAGTCAGTCTGCTCTTGAAGCGGGGGTCCGTTGCGGGTTGCCCAGGGAAGCGTGGCTACTGGCCAGGGATTAGGCAGGCCTGACGACAAAGGCCTCTATCCATTGCCGGTTGTGGCCTTCCGATTAACCACCAGTCCTACGTCCCCAGTCCCATCGTTCTACGTCTCATACTGGTCTTCTTTAAAGAGCGTTTGCACGGCCCTATCGTGTCATACAGTATAACACGGTATAACTTATACCGGCCTTTTGCGTGGGGCGCTGCTGCTGCTGCTGCTGCTGCTATTTCCCTCTTATGCTGTGCTGCACGGCTTTCTGCAGCGGTGCAAGACCCAACCAATCTGGGTCACAAGGAAGTGACCACGCTTTTGCGCGGGCTGCTGGCGCTGGCATCGCGGGGTGCGGAGCTACAGCACGAGGTGCAGGCGAGTGATGACGGGTTCCGGGCCGACTTGTGACGTGATCACGTGCCAGCCCATGTCCTGCCTCGCATCCTCTTGTGGCGCTGTGGCGCTTCTTGAGTAGGTGGCATTTCTGCGATAGGAGCTTCGATGTCCATTACCTGACACGGCAGACGCTGCCCGAAACGGCGCACCTCCTGACGTGCCTAGGGACTGTGTTGCTCCCCTATGCTCGTGGTGACGGCAGGTGACGTCCGATGCTGTCAAGCCTTGTTTAGTCACATCCTGACACGTGTTGCTTGGGGCCTTTGTTATACTCACCTCGTTTAGTGTCTGGGTCACAACCCGCTGCCTCATCCCACACATATCCTGAGACCTGAGTCACCTTGCATGCCCGTATGTCCTCTCCCGTCCGCCTTGTCGATGTAACATTTTGCACGTTTTGTATGGTTCCCGTTTCTGTGCCTTCCTCCCTCTTCCCACCCGTCATGGTCCCTCCTGTCATGGTCAGTCACTTCGCGGCGAGAATTTAGCGCTGCAGCAAGCGCTGGATGCCGCTCACCATCAGCTATCTGAGCAGACCCATCAGTCGTCCCAGAACATCCTCGTTGGCCCTCACGAATATGGCCCCGTGCAAGCGCCAGCAGCAGTAACAACAGCAGCAACAACAGCAGCAGCGAGAAGAGCAGCAACAGCAGCAACAGCAGTAGAGCTCGGAAAGAAGCAGCAACAGGGGCCAGGCACGAACCCCAGGGCGTCCGTCTCGGCGGCGGTCCGGCATGGCCATGGAAAAGAAGAGGAGCACGATTCCCAGCGCGTGGCAGCACTGCAGCAACAGGTTTCGGAGCTCCAGGCGAAGCTGGCGGAGTACAGATCCTACTTAGAAGAGAATCAGGAAGAGATTGAGAGGATGCAGGTATGTTGAGGTGGCTGAGGGCCGGAAAGGAAAGGGAATGCGTAGTACAGACCGGTATCGGATTAGGCTGCAGGACCAAAGCATGTGTATGCGGCCACAGGGGCCATGGTTGGCGTGTGCAAAGCGCCTGGCACAGCGCCGGAGGTCCCGGGATTTGTTGTCTCCCCAGAGTGTTGCAGGAATGTCTCTTCCCGCTTTTCCTGGGGAAGACGTAGGACCGCCCATGCTTTGCATTGTTACTTCCGCGTGCTGTGGGAGACCTGATGGATAGCCTTGCCTGTACATTGCAGTTTCAGTAACATTCCTTATCGAAGTATCAATGTTGCACATATTGATACAAACGACAACCGATCGCTTTTGAAACGGAAAACCGTGTCCTGGCACCTGGGGTCCATACATTGATTAAATGATGGATGGACGTGGTGAACGCCGCGCAGGCTGAGCTCAAGCGGCTACGCCAGGCTCAAGTGCGAGCGGGCCAGGATACAGACACCCAGGCCCTCGTCAGCCATCTTCACGCTGCCCAGCCACGGCGTCACCATACCCATCGGCACGGGGCCCTCAGCGGACACGCCCACGGACTCAGCAGCACCGGGAGTGGGCCCGCAAGCGACATACAAGCGCCCTCAGAACCAACCGCTTGGCGGAACCCCAAGGATTCACAGCACCAGCATCACCACCACCAGCAGCAGGTCTTTGGGACGCCGACCCGTCATGTGCCATCCAGCTCATCACCCATCAGCACTGTGAACTATGGGAGCTCGCCGCCTGTACCCGCCAGCCCAACGATCCGTGGGTCACCCATGACCCAGCAGGCGGCCGCTGACTTTGCGATCAAGGTATTGTGTCCCAACTCAAAAATAAATAGTTCCTCCATGTTATTAAGGGGAATGGATGGAAGGGCTGCGTATCTCGGCTCGTCACGTTGGGAGACGAGCTAGCCCGGCCTGGGCCAGACGTGCCATACATCAGCTTGTGGGTTGTTGATTGAGCTTAATGCGCGACTGGGTTATTAGCAACGAGGTAGCGATTCGGCTGGGACGTTGTGGTACGCTTGCCGGTTGGGCCCTGCCTGCGGCCGTACTAGTGCCGGTGCCAGAGACAGTGCGACGGCCGCGATCGTGGGATGGGAGGACGCCGATCCAGCGTGTGTATGCCATATGACTGGCTTGCTCCCGGCACTTTTCATGCAGCAGCTTAACGCTGTGGTTAAGGCGTTCCCAAAATGATGTTGCGCGAGCGCCTTGGTGCTTCCCTGACTGCCTCCCCACATGGCATCATGGCGGCTGGGCTCCACGGCCACTGCCGCACCTCGCCAACTGCTGCTATGATTGTGCATTCCTACAATACCTCACAGGTCACGGAGCTTCAGGCGCTCGCGTTGCGCGCACAGCAGCAAGCTGCCGAGCGGGAGGCTGAGGTGGTGCGACAACACGAGGCAACCCTGGACACACTGCGACAGCAGCTGGAACAGCGCAAAGACGCCGAGCTTGCAGAGCTCGCCTCGCAGCACGCCGCGGCGATGGCGGAGGCGCAGAGTCGCGTAGCTGAGCTGATCAGCCAGCACTCTCGCCAGCTGGCCGACTTGGAGGCTCAGTCCGCCAGAATGGCGTCGCAGCACGTGGAGACGCTCGGGGAGCTGCACGCCCAGCTGGCCAAGCTGACTGGCCAGCACGCGCAAGCGCTTGCGGAACGCGAAGCGGCGGTAACAAAGCTACAGCAGCGCGAGGCGGAGCTGCAGCAGCATCACACTGACGCTCTTGCTAAAGAGAAACTACGGCTGGCAGAGGCGCTGACGGCGCAGGCCGTCGAGCTGGCGGCGCGGCATGCTGAGGAGCGGCGAGAGGCGGAGGAACGGTGGGGCGTGGAGGTTGCAGCAAAATTGCAGGAGCTCCAGGCGCAGATTGAGCAGCGCTTCCGCGAGCAGCAAACGACACGTGACGCGGAGGCGCGGCGCAAACATGCAGAGCGGTTGGCAGAGCAGGTCGCTCAGCTAGCGCGGCTACATGCTGAGCAGGCCGCTCAGCTGAGCATGCAGCACGCTGAGGCAATCGCCGACCGAGAGGCACAGCTTCTGGACCAGTTCGAACGGCAGCTTGTTGAGCGGGAAAGCCAGCTGGCAAATGCGCATGCCGACCAGCTACGGGACCTGGATGCCAGGTTCGCTGCGAAGGCAGCGGAAGCTGCTGACGTGCGCGAGGCGCAGCTACGAGGCTTTTTCGAGCAGCAGCTGGCGCACGCGCTGCGGCAGCAGGAGGAAAGCCTGATGGCGGAGGCGATGCAGGTGGAGGCGAAGCTGCGGGAGGAGGCAGAGGCCGCGGCGGCGGCGGCTCAGGTGGCGGCAGAAGCGGCGCGTTTGGCGCATTCGCAAGTGGCAGCGGCAGAGGCAAAGCTGAAGGAGGAGGCGGAGGGCGCGGCGGCGGCCGCGGAGCAGGCGCGACTTGCGCATGTGCACGTGGCGCAGGCGGCGACGCAACTGGAGGAGGAGGCGCGGCGCCGCGAGGCGGAGCTGACGGCGCGGATGGAGATGTTGGAGGGCCAGGGTGTCGTCCAACTGGTTATTAACGTGCTCGAGGCGGACGCATCGCGTTCGAGAACACCCGCCGCCGTAGAAGATGCTGCCACTGCCACAGCGGCAGGGCATTCTCGACCTGTCGCAGCGTGCTCGTATAGTGCAGGGCCTGCTGCTCATGCCGATGGGGGGGAATGGCGGTCTGAGAACCTCGGTGGTGACGCCGCAGCACGCTTGGTGGTTGAGGGGATGGCGGAACGGAGCGAGGAGCTGCAACGACCCGCAATCGAGGTGGGGGCCGAGTGGAGGAGGCGGGAGCAAGCGGTTGAAGAGGTGAAGCGACAGCACATGGAAGTCGTGGCGCGCTTGGGCCTCGAACACAAGCAGGTGCTTGATCCTGTCAGTTACCCTTATTCCTGGTTTCTGTATTAATGACTGGATGGGTGAATCTGTGTTGGCGAAACCTGGGCCGTGCCGGTTGCCTTTCGCCGCATGCTAACCTCCAATGTTCACGGCTGCCGGGCCCCATTCGCGGAAATTGGGTCTTGTGGGGAAGTTATCAGGGTTTTCCTGTTCATTTCCAGACAAGTAAACCGTAACCTCTGCTTCTGGGCCTGGTGCTGCAGGCCATTGCCGAGGCGCGAGCCGCACACGAGCTGCAGGAATCCAAACTGCGGCGGCTGCTAGAGCGGCGGACGGAGGAGGCGCAGGAGGCGGAGCGGCAACACAATGAGCAGCTCCGAAACCTGCAGGTAGCGTAAAAAAGTAAAAGAGTGAAAGGGAAAGAAAGGAAAGCTTTCACGGGAGCTGGAAGCAACCGTGGAGCCAGAAGTAGAGTCAGCGAGCATTTCACCTCCCGCTGCTGGGTATGCTTAATCTGTTCAGTACTAATATCCTTCCTGCCTACCCACCTTCGTAGCTACCAGTCATACCGACCTAAATATCCCATTTACCAGCTTTTGTACACAATCCATCTATATCCGCCAACGTACCTATGTACTCAATAAGCATCCCTCCTAATCCCCCGGCCCCCCGGGCCCAATTCCCACTGCCACCCACCACAACAGGACCAGCTGACGGAGCTCCGTAACCTTTTAATGGAGGTGCGCGTGCCTCCGGGGTTTGCGGAGGACATGTGCAATATCATATAGATTGCCCCAACCACCCAAGGTCCATCGTCCCGAGCCGTCCGGACTGTTTAAGTGCCTCCGCTTGTTTCCGTCCTCAAAGAAACCATAGTGCCGCGCTCTTAACCTTGCTTACTGCATACTTGCAACAAGAGCTTACCAACTCCCCGGTGCGTGTCGTGCTCATGGCTGGCGGCGGCCGCAGGAGCGGGAGCGCCACAGCAGCTCCAGTGAGGCCCTCGAGCAGCGGGCGGCACGGCTGGCTAGGGAAGTAGACTCAATGCGGCGCCGAGAGGCGGAGGTGGTGTGCGCGTTGGCGGCACGGTCCGGGCCGCCGTTGACCAAGCCGACGGACAGCGGCCGGACGGGACCGTCGCTGGAGCTACCGGACGGAAGGTGAGTGAAGTGGTGGCGATAGCGGGTATTCATATGTTGCGGTGGGGGTGGAGGTGGTACGGCGGCGCACGTGCGTTGGTGTGGTCCCGTTGCGGACACATGGCGCGGTGGTTTTGCCTTATGCCATTTAGCCGTATGCAGTCCATACGGGCTATACGGCCTGCTGCGCTCCGCCGACTGTAGATCTGTTTCTCAGTAGGAAACGGAGAGGAGGTGGAGGTCTTACCAAGGCAGCCCTCAGATTTCGCCATTAGGTCTGCTAGGTTTGGGGGCACGTTTGAAGGTTATCCTGCCACTAGCACGCTTTTCGTGGCCTTGAGGTTCTCCCCGTCCTCATTCTCGTTCCTCTCACCCGAAATGCCCTCACAGGGAGCCCCAAGGGCCCGCTCCGGAACCGGTTGACGGCACCGGTCAACGGCAGCTATTGCCACCCCCTCAAGGGATTCGTGAGAAGACCCTGCTGCTGCCATTGACGGCCTCCGGCGCCGCATCTGCGCCAAGCAGTGCTGCGCCGGACCCTGCTAGTGCAACCGCTGATATGTGGTCAGACGGACAGGCGTTGTGGTGGCCCACCTGCGGCTCCATCGCCACGTCAGCGTCAGGCATTCGTAGCCTGAGTGGCGGCAACGGCGGCGGCACCACAAGCGCGGAGCCTCTCCCAGCTGCCGTGTCTACCGGCGCGCAGGGCGCCGCCGAACAGCCGGACCTCCCCGGGCTGCTGCCGCAGGAAACTGGCAGGCGCTCGGAGTCGGACCTTGACCTCGCGTCCAATTTAATATCGGCTCTGCGGGGGTTGGAGTCCTGCACAGATGGAGAGGGGCCCGGGGCGACGCTCTGGGTCAGAAGTGTAGAGCTCGACCCGCGAGCGGCGGCGCGGCGGGAGCTGCTGGATGGCGTCAACACGACGTGCGGCCCGGCAGCCGCGGCGACGGACACTGCCGCCGACGAGGCGGCATCGCGGGCCGGCATCGCGGTTGGTGCTGACGCCATTATGATTGACCGCCTATCCTCCAACGCGGCATGGGAGATTCTCGTCGCCGCCGATAGGGCAGCAGGTGGCGGCGGCGGCTCCGGAAAGAAGCAGCGAGATGGTGGCGGCGCCGGGGATGTCCCAGAGGACTGGGCAGACTTTATCGGCGCGCAGCAGCAAGGCGTGCCTGCCGTATCATTGCCTAGTGCCTCCGCCGCCAACGCCGCCGCCAACGCCGCCGCCAACGCCTTCGGCCCGGGCTACATCAGCGAGGCTGCCACATCGGTCAGCACCGACAGTGCGTACAACTCAGAGACGGAGTTTTACGTGGATGACGAGGACGATGATGAGCACCGGGGCCGTGCGCTAGCCGCGGCGCTCGCGCAGTCGCCCCGCACCAGCCAGACGGAGGTGTCTACGCGGCTGCCACCGCTGCTGCAGGAGCTGCAGCTGGAGCGGCTTCAGCCGCCGTCGTCCGCGGGTATCTCGCCCGAGACGGAGCCGGTGGTCTGCGGCCCTGTCGCCGCGGCCGGTAGGGTCCGGATGCGGCATGACACAGTTGCTAGATGCGCTGGCGGTGGACGAACGCCAGCGCCGTCATTTGTCGCCCAAGCCGCAAACGAGGCCGCGACGACTGCCGCATCTGCCGATGGGCAAGGGGCTGGAGAAGCGAGTAGTCTGGAGCTGCGTGTTGATTCGGCCGGCGAGGATCTGGGCGCTACATTTTGGGGCGTGTTCCCAGTCATGGAGGTTAAGCCAGATTTGCTAGCTGCGGCGGTGGTGGCGGAGGAGGCAAGGAGGGCCGAGGATGCATCCGGGGCAGCGGCAGCGGCGGCGGTGGCAGCTGCGGTTTCGGCGGAGGCGTTAGGCTTGGCGCCGGTGCCGGTTAAAGGGACGACAACAGAAGACTTGGAGGCTACGCTGTCGGGACCCTTCCCGGTGTTGCCGCTCGTACTGCTGCCTCCAATGCAGCACCACCAGGCCTCGCCGGCGGCGGCGGCGGCACTTGGCGCCAGCCACTCGGGGCATTATAACCTCACCAGCGACGACCGTAGCAGCAGCAGCAGCAGTACTGTAGACGGCTCTGCTCCAGCCGCGACGCCTTCGTCTTTCTCCTTCCCAGGGCCGCACCGCACCGCCCCTGCATGGGACGGCGCACCCCTCAGTGCCGGCGGCGGGAGCGGCAATCAGTTCGCTACCGCTGCCGCCGAAGCAGCAGCTGCTGCCGCTGACAGCAGGCAGGAATGCCGCCGTGGCCGCCTTACCCTTGAACCGGGGCAGGAGCAGCCGCAGCCGCAGCCACAGCCGCACGGTATAATGGACCTCACTGCGAGCTTTGACTTCTTGCCCGTCGCTGGATGCGGCAGCAGCCGCTTGGCGGCGCCGCCAGGTGCAAACTCTGTGCCATCCCAGCCTGTTGTACAGCAGCAACGGAGCTCGCCGCCCGATGCTGTAGCCGCGTTCGGTAGTGAACAAGTCAGGGCAGAACATGGAGATGGAGAGAAGGACGGCGGCCAGGAGTCCTGCAGCCGGCAAGGCGACGCAGGCCGCATTTGCAGTGGCAGTGACGGCAACGGCAGCGGCAGCGCAGCAAGTCCCAAAATCTCTATTCTGCCGCCTCTTCCACGACCCAGGATGTTGGTCCAAAGTCCGCAGCATCAGCAGCACCAGCAGCATCAGGTATGGGTAGATCTGACCGACGACGATGAGGGCGGCGATGACGATGGCGGCGGCAGCCGAAGAGCTGCTGATGACGCACCTGCCGACACCGACAGCGGCCGGCGTTACAATGGCGCACCGGCGGACACGGCGGCGGATGCGGGCGGAATGGTGGTTTCCAGCGGCCACGGTTCCCTTAGCGACGAGGTTTGCAGGGGCACGGTGGCTGCAGGTGACGACGGATCGGGTTGGCCGCTGCCGCCGGCGGCAGCGCGGGCAGCAGCCGGGATCACGCCGCTGTTGCTGCCGAATCCGCTGTACAGCGAGACGAGCGAAATATCGCCCCCCTGGAGCGCTGCAGACTGGAACACAGATGGCAGCCCGCTGGAGCCCGCCAAGCCGCGGGATGGAAGTATTGAAGGTACGTCTGTGCATTGTGTTTCGGGTACGTGCATGTGTTTGAATAGACTGCATGTCAACAATGTCAAGCAAAGAGAACACTTGACACCACCATGGTGATGTAACCATGGTGGTGGTAACCCTCGTTATGGTCCTAGATTATCTATGTATATCTAGCTACTCATGGGGCTTGTCCCAACCCATGCCACGTCGCACCCTGCAGACGGCTCCTTGCCATCTACTCCGGGAAGCAGGTCGGCAGGCGCCAACTTCGACGACAGCCGCCCCTGCCGCCGCCACCACAGCAGCAGCATCAGAGACGACGCGCCAGACGCGCCAGAAGGTGGCACTATTCAGATGCACGCGGCCGAGCGAAATACCACCTACTACGAGGCCTGGGGATTGCTGCATGAGGCGGCGGCGCCACAAGAGCCGACGCCCTCTGGAACGCTGGATTCGGATAACCCCTTCGGGAATAACCAATTTGCTATTCGCCGTTGCACGAGTGGCAAAAGCGCCAGGAGCAGCGACAAAAGCAGCAGCGGAACCCGCAGGCGTAGATTGGGGCAGGGGGGGCTTCGTTCCTACTACAGTGATGACGGGGCGGTGAAGGCGGGGGCGGAGGCGCCGGAAGGTAACGCCTACGCCATCAATGAGCTAGCTGACTTGCTGCAGGCGCTTCATGAGGCGGAAGACGTGAAGCCTCACGGGTACAAGGGGCTGAGGGAGGAGGGGCACGAGGGGTGTGCTTCCCGGGCGGATGGTCACCCGAACGACGACGACGACGATGACGATGTGCGCAGCCTGTTGGCTGCGGGGGCCACTCTGAGCAATAGCGAAAAGCGGCGGCGGCAGCGGCAGCGGCGGCGCATGGGCGATGTCGCCAACACTGCCGCCGACTTGGATCCCTTGAGGCATCATCCCATTGACCTGCTACGGCAGGATTGGGAGTTTTCGGGCGGCGTTGCATCGCCCATCTCGCCTCGCTCCACGCCGCGTGATGACGAGGCGCGCCTCTCTCCGCTGGCTAGAGAGGCGGCAGCGGAAGTGCTGCCAACGCGGTCCAAGTCACCGTCACCGATGCCGCCGTCACACCAGGAACTTGAGAAACAAGGATTGCAAGAAGGAAAGCAGCCGAAGCAACAGCAGAAACAGGAGCAGGACTTACAGTCATTGCTGCCATTGTGTGCACAGCAGCGTGGCCGCACCAGTCCCTCCCCCGTCCGCCGCAGCGGCGTTCCCAGCTCCTCGCCGCGCGCGACTCCCAGCCCGTGTCCTAGCTCTAGCTCGCTGAGGAGGTTCTCCCATGTCTCCAACCTGGGTGCAGAGCGCAACTGCGCCAGCGGCAGCCCCAGCGCCGCTGCGCTAGGCGCAAGCTCGCCCACCGCCGCCATGGCTTCTTCTGCAGGGGCACCCTCATCCCCAAGCACCTTCTCCGCCCTCATGGCTTCCCCGCGCTCTGCGGTCCTGTCTGGACGGCCATTGAGCCCGCTGGAAGCCAGGCAGCTCAGCCGAGCTCTGCTGGGCCGCGCCCGGAGCCGCGTTGCTGAGCTGGAGAGTCAGTGCAGGGCGTTGGCGGCGTCACTAGCGGCGTCGCTGCAGCAAGCAGCTGCTGGTGGCGCTGCCGGGGACGGTGGCGTTGACGGCGCTGCCGGGGACAGTGGCAGCTCCGTTCGCGAGCCCGCGGCGGCCCTCCCGCTGGACGACGCAGCTGCGGCCACCCAGGCGTCCGCCTTGAAGGGACGGTCACCGTCGGGGACGCCGCCCGACCGGCGGGATTGCTCTCCCGGTGGCAATTGGGCGCTGGGGGATGTGCGCGGCGGGGCCAGCTGCGGTAATAGTGGAGCGCTGGTGATGGTGACCCCGCCGCCGGTGGCGCCGGCGGAGGTGGTGGACGCGCTGGAGGATCTGCGGGGTGACCTCGGCGGGCTAGAGGTCCTCCACAGGATGTCAGTGCGCGCACGCAAGGGTGCGGTCGGCGGCGGAGCAAGCCCAGCGTCGTTGGTGACGCCGTTGCCGCCGCCGCTGCCGCCGTCTGAGCAGCGTCCAACGGTGCTGCTGCTGCCCTGCGGCACGGTGGCTGCTCCCGCGGCCGCGGAGCCGTCCGCCGGCTCAGCGACGGCAGCGGCACGAGCGCAGCCGGCGCTGCCAGACGCCCCGGATGATGGACAGCAGTGCGCAGGACAGGCGACGCCGCGGCAGCTGGACAGTGCCAACCTGGATGCCTCTGGGGCTTTAAGGGCCGCATCTGGCCGAATGTCAGTGTTGTCGCCATCTACACCTGCGGCAGCCGCTGCGGTGGACGCCTTCATGGCGCAAGCAACCAGCGGGTCAGCCTGCGACGACTTGGATAAACTCGCAGCAGAGCCGGGCACGACCGCCGCCGCCCCCGAGCTTGCGAAGATGCCAACGCAAGCATTGGAATCCATCCAAAGGTCCGCTACGCCGTTACAGTCGCCGCCAACGGCTTCGGGTGGCCCAGGGTACGACAGTGGAGGTTTCGCCAGGGGTGCAGCGGCGGTGCTGGCGGCGGCGTCGACATGGCCGGCGCCACAGATCCCGCTCGGATCCGTTGGTGGAACGGGATTGCCCTCCCTGGATCCTGCGTTGATGACGATGCTACAGCTGTCCATTCAGGCCCAGGTGCAGGGTCAGCTGGGGCAGCTGGAGGCCAAGATAGCGGACCTGCAACGTCAGAACGAGGCGTTGCTGGCCGCCTCCACGGCGGCATCTACCCCCGCCACACCGTTGCCGCCGGCGTTTCGGCCCGGCTGGCCCGGCGCCGTGTTGCCCATGACGCCGCAGTCGCTGCTCACTGTGATGAGCGTGACACCGTCGGCGACGGCGGCAGCGGCAGATGGAGGTGTTACTGGCGGCGTTGCGAGGAGAGGTGTTGTTGGCGTCGGCGTCGAGGGTGGGGGGGAGTGGCGGCCGGGTGCCGGCGACGCGACTTCAACAACTGCCTTGCGTCCGAACGGAAGTGGGAGTAGGAGTGGAAGCCTGGGGGAAGTGTGGACGAGGGATGGTTATGAAGCCGGCGGAGGTGTTGGCGCGTCGGCGGATAGGCTGGTGTCGTCGCGGGAAGCGGCGTGGACTGCTTTCCCAGCGATGTGGGAGACCACGCCGGCACCGGGGCTGGTGCCGGCGGCTGTTTTGCCTGGCGCTGCCGCGTCGAGAGGTTACTCGTCCATGGGCGTCGTTCCATTGGTAGCTGCGGCGACAGCAACGGCAGCAGCCGCAACGCCATCGTCAGCTGACACCCAAGTCCTGACGCCATTGCCTACTGGCCTGCGGGTTTCGCTGTCAGCTGGACCGTTCAGCCCAGAGGAGTTGTCCCACCTGCCGCCGGCCGTTCAGCTCTTTGCACCGCCACAGCTGCGGGCGGCGGCGCTGGCGGCAGCGAAGGATCAGGCGCATGCTAGCGGTCATTCTTTATAGAGTACGTTTGTAACTAGTACGGCAAGGTTTGTAACCAGTGCGGCAAGGTCGTCCTTTTTATTGCTGCTGTTAAACTTCTTATTTGCCTGGCAGGTTGATATGTGCGTGCCCTTTGTGTATTGATGTAACACGATAACGGCGTTTAAAGAAGCTTAGCTCTGGCCGTGCTTCCTTCCGTTAACTGGGCGAGCAGGCGTTGGCAAAGCAACCGGCAGCAATGAAGCCATAAATATAATGAAAAAGTTGCTGCGTGCCGCAGCCACATCGTCTGGAACATCTGCGGAGGGAGCGGAGGAACGGGCGCCCTCACGTATACTAAAACAGGTTTTCGGCAATCTCCGTTCGTCGCCCAATCGACAACAGGTTTCGGGTCTTGCAAGGGAAGCGCAGGATGGTGTGCCAAAGGAAAGGACAACTCACGAGAATTCGCAACGAAAGGATGCCATGGAAGAATACGCCACAGACAGCTCTAAAGCTGCACACACATCAGTTTTACCTTCACCGAATTCTCGTACTACTACTTTAATCACGCTCAGTCAAACTAACGGAGGTGTCCGGGCTCCGACATTTGAGGTGGAGAGCGACGAACCTAGCCTTTTCGTCCCCAAGGAGGAGCTTCAGGATGAGCTCCTGGAAGAGCAATACACCGTTGTGCAACATCCGCCATACGAGTCATGGGATCGCTACCTGTCGCCCGCTGGACATGCCTTAACTTCCATGTCCGAGCCTCCCGTGGAGCCCCTGAGCAACTCCACGGAGATGCTCTTCCAAGCAAACGTCAGCCCTAATGGACAAACGCAGGAGGATTTATCGGCGGAGCAGCTGGACGACCCGGAGTTCTCGGGCGAATACGCCGATCATGGGGTCATGTCCGACGCTGCTCCCGACTGCCAACAGGACGGCGGCGGCCAGCTGCTCTCCACCGCAACCAATCTAAGCCAAAAATCTCCCGGGACGACATCCACGGCATCCCAAGGCATAGTCAGCGCCGCGCATGCCGCTCTCCTCGCCAACAATCTCGCCCGGCAGCCCGGCGTGAACCTTTCAATCGACTACGGAACGGAAATACATTTGACGGATAGCTGCCCGATTGGACAAGGCCAGTTTGGGTCCGTGTACCGGGGCGTCTATGCCGGAAAATCGGTGGCCATCAAACTCCTGCCAAAGTTAGTGAGACCATGTAACGGGTCTGTTTGGGGGGCCCTGGTGCCGGGGCTGTCGCAGGAGCCTGGGATTGGGGCTGGGGCTGCGGCCGGATATCCGAGCCCAGATGTTAAAGGCGGGCCGGGCGAGTGGTTGGGGGGCTTAATGGCCCTAACGGCTTTTGTAACGTCCTCGGGTGCTGTCTTGGAACGATTGGGGGGCCAATGAAACCCCGTGCCGTTGGGTGCTGCCCGACGGGCTGTTTGTGCTGGGGAGAGGAGGAGCTGGAGATGGCAGGAAATGACATGTGGGTCAGGGTGATGTGGGTCAGGGTGATGTGGGTCAGGGTGATGTGGGTCAGGGTGATGTGGGTCAGGGTGATGTGGGTCAGGGTGTTGTGGGTCAGGTGACCCAGTGGGGTTGGGAGTGATGTGAGATGTGGGGCATGCCGGTAAGAGGCCTGGTTGATGGCCTCCTGGTGTCTAACATACCACCTGATCTGGGTCGGGGCTCCTTACTTCGCCGCGACCGCTTCCTGCTTCCCTATACCTCTCCACCTGTCTTCGCGGCAAACGAACGACAACAGGAAGTTTGGACTTCTTGCGCGGTGTTGGGAAGAAGGGCCATTACCGACTTTTGCTTACCTCGGACCTTTCAACTCCAATAATTACGCGGTCAATGGGGTACCGTACGTACGGGTACCGTAACCAGCGTCCTAAAACCCTGAAAACACCCCCATCCTGTCTCTGCCCTGTCTGTCTCGACCTGTCTCTCTGTTCAGGATGTTTCTCGGAGATGCGAGCCCCGCTGACGTGGAAACTTTCATCCAGGAAGCTGCCGTACTGAGCGGAGTTGACCACCCCAATGTGGTCAAATTCTACGGCGGGTCACTCAGCCCCCCGTATGTGAGCGTATCCGCCCCTCTAGTCGCTGATGATGTCTAGTCACTTTTTGTATTGGTGTTGATTGTGTTGTTGGTGTTGGTGTTGATTGTGTTGTTGGTGTTGGTGTTGGTGTTGGTGTTGGTGTTCGAACGAATGTTGTTGAGTGAACCTATCTCAGCTCACTCCTCCAGTTCGATTGGTCCGTCGGTGTACCCGCCCCCAGGTGCATTTCCGGCCCCCTCCAAGCGAGGGGGAAAACTCGCACCCTTCTCACGGGATATTTCATTCTTCTCATTTTCGGCATCATCATTTTATTATAGTTAGTATGAGTATAATTGTCATCATCTATTATCATCACCAAATATTATCCATCATTATGACATCGTCATGCATGTATGGCGCCCACCCAAACCCCTCGCTACACACAAATCGCCCATGCCCCCATTCCCCGCTCCCGGCTCTTTCCCCGTGTCCCCCTTCCTGCCTACCGCCACCGCCTCCGCCTGACACGGCACGCCGCTCTCCCCCGCGGCCCGCCCGACGATACCTGCATGGTATATGGCAAACACATACACACATACACATATACACACGCACACGCGATATATGTGCACGTGTTGTGTGCACGTGGAGACTGGCAGGTCTTCATAGTGGAAGGTGAGATGTTGGGGCCAGGGGAAGTGGGTCAGTGGCGGAGGGGGTTAACGGTTGTGTGAGCGGTTGGGTGATGGTAGACAGTTGTGGCGCCCTCGCTGTTGTTCCCCTTACCACTTTTGTTGGTTCCCACGAGTTCCCGCAACGACCAATTACGTCGCCTGCCATCTATCAACACACCCCTCACCCCTCACCATTCGCCTCATCCCATCTCGCATGTCGCAATAATAACCCTCTGGACACCGTCGCTGATTTTGGTTCTTTAGTACCGACAACTTAATTTATTACGTGGTTCCATATAGGATTACCGTTTAATGGAAAAGGAAAGGATCCCTACTGTAAAATCTTCTCTGCTCGGAGTTCATTCCGCTCCTCTCAGTTATTGAGGGAGACGTCCGGACTCGGGTAACAACCTATTTCACGGGGGTTCCCACCCATCCTGCACACACACCCTGTCGCCGGTTCCTCCTCCTCCTCCTCCCTTTCCTGCTGCGTCTTTTCCTACCGCTTCCCTTATCATCATCTCTTGCTCATTCTTTCCCGCCTGCCCTTTCAGAGCTCATGGCCCGCAGTCTGGCCGATGTGCTGTACAAGACCCCCCAGGAGCCCTTCCCGCTGCGGCGAGTGGTGTCCGTGGGGCTGGACGTGGCGCGGGGTCTGCATTACCTTCACTGCTGTAACCCGGCCATCGTTCATCGAGATCTCAAGGTGCCGCAATCGTACCATATGTGTTGTATCGCATCGTAGCTCCGTACTTGCGTACGCTCTGTAGGTGCCCCGTGTACATGTTGTTGCTACGGAGTGGGAGGCTTCCGGGCCATCTGCACACACATTTGGATTGTCGGATTATCTAGGATTGAACTCCATACAGCAACACACGGACATCCGAATGAGTTCAGCAGAGAGTTCAGCAATCGCCACCAAACCAGCGTGCAAATCTCGGTCCATCAACTGTGACCTCAACTCCACATCTCAGCAGCTAGCCATAATCTCACGCTCCCGACAATGTCGGGGGTCTACCCAGGAATCGAACCCAGGACCATGAACCGCAAATTGCAGTAGTGTCTCCAGACCAGACCAGGAGCCGTGTATATATACGCGGTGCAGGCTTCGAGCCACACGCTTCCCAGAATACTACACCTCCTCACCCCCTATTTCCTCGATTTACCTTCCTTCAAGTTCCATTCCCCGCGCTATCGTCCCATTTAATGCTACACACAAATATAATGGAACACGTGATGATAATGCTAAGCACTATCCCTCACATTCAGATTCCTCCGCTCCTTACCCTCATCCTCTCCGTCGCATCCACGGTGCGCTCCCATCTCGATTAGTATGATGATCCCTCCCTGGCCAGGTGCAAATAGGGCTGTTAGGGGAGAGATTATGTATACAGCATGTGTCATACAACATATGTGTACATATATATATACATATGTATGTTATTACAGGGTGGTTAACTTCGCCAGCGGCCCCCTTTCCCGGGGCAGTCCCTGCTCTCCCCTGCTAGAGGGGCACCCTAATCCGTCACCCCATCCGACTTCAGAATGTATTCGTTGGGTTCGGCAACTCACCACCAGCATCCAACCAAATCTAGCGGATCAACGGCGCATCAACTTAGTTCCTGGTCAGCTCGCAAGTTGATATTATCACGTCCTACACCGTCCATATGATGGGGGGCCACCTCCCATTTCATCACTCCTCAAATACCCGAGGAGCTGGCAGGCGGATTTGAACCCGGGTCGACTGGATCGACTGGGAGCAGAAGTCAGGCCTTAACTTCTGCCAGCCGCCTGCCTATACATATTTATACCCGTAGTAACCTCTCCACCCCCGCCCCCTAAATGCATACACGCCTTAGTTGGGGCTGAGGCGTATTGTTGTTTTTCCTCCCTGGGCCGCCCCGATTAAAACTCACCACGAACTCCCTAACGCAGCCCGAGAACATCCTGTTGAGTGCGGAAGGTAACGCCAAAATATCGGACTTTGGACTGGCAAGGTGCGTGGGCCCTATGTATAGATGAATCATGGAAGCTAAGGGTTGCGGGTTTCAGGGCGGGCCTGACAGGGGCGGCAGGGGGCCAGTGGGAAGGGAGGTGGGCCCCGGGGACCACCTGGCCCCGGGGGAGGGGAGATGCAGTAGCAGCAGCAGTAGCAGAAGCAGCGGCAGAAGCAGCCGCAGCCGGCAATGGGGCGGGGGAGGGGGAGGAGGTGCGACGGGAGTGTCGAGGTCGGGTTGTTGGAGTCCGAGGCGTAGCCCGGGCCCCCGACTACCATCACCAACACCACCAACACCTTCAGAGCCGCCGCTGCTGCTGCGGGTGCAGCCGCAGAGACGCGGTTTGCTCCCGCCCCTCACCGCTGCTGCTACTGCTGTCGCTGCTACTGCTGCTGCTGCTCCCAATACCGGTGCCAGGCACTATTACTATCACCAGTTTCCTATTACCTACCTTCATACCCCACCTTCAATGGGGTGAGCACCTTACCCGCCCACCTACCCATGTGTCGACCACCGAGGATGAGGGTGAGGATGAGGATGGAGATTCTGTGTCCGTTGTTGCACTTTGGTTCGCTCCCAGGTGCAAGTATCAGTCGTACGTGAAGACCAACCGGCGGGAGGCGGGCAGTCTGGCGTACATGGCTCCAGGTGAGATGGAAGAAGAACAAGAGGAAGAACAAGAAGAAGTGGTGGCTATGGTGGCGGTGGTGGTGGTAGCAGTGGTGGGACCTTGGCGAGGGTGGGGCGGTGGTGGTGGGGTGTCACAGTCTCATGGAGGGTTTCCGTCGTGAGTCCCCCGCCCTTCAATGAGGACCAATATCAGTAGTAGTGGCGGGCGGGGAGGGAGGTCATAGGGAAGAGGGGGATGCAGAGGACGTGGCGCGCGGGCCCGGGGGCGGAGCCATGAGGGAGGGGGAGAGGGGCACACGATACATAGGAGGCAGGCAGCAGCGTGCGGTGGGCAATATCTGCACTGTCGCCATTGCTTCGCTAAGGCTGAGGCTGAGGCTGAGGCTGAGGCTGAGGCGAATGTTGCTTTACTCCTCCGTAAAAAAACTCCGGGCAATCATCATCGGCCTCCAAGCCTCTTTGCATTCACTCCCGGTCCCCAGCCCAACTGGCTCCTCCTCCTCCTCCCTGGCCTTGTCCCCTCGGCCCCGGCTCCCCCCTCTGCCCGTCACCTGCTGCGGTCGTCATGGTGATGGTGCCGGCAATGCCAATGTGCCGGTGCTGGCGCTGCCGGGGTGGCCCGGATCACACGCAGAGTGCTTCGATGCACGGATGGGTAAATTGACGGACCGCTTGGATGGTGGGTACGTGGGTAGTGCGTGGGCAGTGCGTAGCTAGCTATTTACGTGGCTAGGTTCGCGGACGTGAAGAATCGCCGCCACTTTCGAGACGTGAGAAGTTAGAAGTTCCGCACGAGTGCGGGGGGGGGTCTGTCAAAGCCAGGAGGCCATGGACTATATATGTATGTTGTTCCAGGGTGGTATAGCTTCACCAGCGGCCCCCTTTCCCTTGGAGGCAGTTCCCTGCTCTCCCCTGCGAGAGGGGCACCCTATTTCGTTCACCCCATCCGACTTCAGAATGTAATTGATGGGTTCAACAACTCACTACCAGCATCCAACCAATAGATATACATATTGGATACATATTGACACACCTGCCTACCTGACTTGTGATGGTATGGATTACACTGGGGTTTACATCAGAGGTGGATTGGGGGCCATCCTTTCGCATGCCCTGCTCTGATTCCTGCCATGATGTGGGTTGATTTGGTGGTGGTGACATGGTTCGACTCGGTCTCGCCTTGACCAGGGATAGTGAGCATCCCGCACTCCCGGTGGTTACACGCACACGCCCTGGGTGTGTGTATTTGGCCCGGCATCCCCAAGCGGCGCTGTATACCCCAAGCTCCCTAACTCCCCGGTCTGTGTGTGTTTGTGTGTTTGTGTGTTTGCGGCACATGCAGTCTTCTCGTTCGGGGTGTTGTTGTGGGTGATGCTCACCCGACAAGTACCCTGGCAGGTTCGCGGGTTGGGCTGGAGGGGTGGCAGGGTGGTTTGTTCGGGTGGGGGAAGACGGACATACGTTCGTGGAGCGTGACCGTCATCCCGCCAGCATCGCCTCCTTCGTATCCATTACCTCCATTACACCGCCAGCACATTCCTGACCTCGTCTACTTTGCTTGGCATTACCGATAACCGTACCTGCCGTATGGAAAGGTATTATGTGTGGGGAGAACAAGCAAAGCAGCAGCAGCAGCTAGTTTCAACGGATCCACCAAACCGACACACCGACACACGCCGTACCTCCCGCAATCCGTTCCCACACGCGCGTCCATCCATCCATCCATCCATCCATCCATCCATCCATCCACCCATCCATCCATCCATCCATCCACCCATCCACCCATCCACCCATCCACCCATCCACCCATCCACCCATCCACCCATCCACCCATCCATCCATCCACCCATCCATCCACCCATCCACGTGCAGGGCATGCGGACACACGAGTTCCTGCAGCGTATGGTGATCGGCGGCGGCCGTCTGGCTGTCCCTCAGGACGACAGCATGTGCCCGCTGGCGCTCAGGCGGCTCATGTCCGTGTGCTGGGCGGACCTCCCCTCAGAGCGGCCGTCGTGCGAAGAAATCATCGGGGAGCTAGAACGCATGCTGAAGTACATGCCCGTGGACAGCACTTGATGGGATCTGCCCGCGCGTGTGCAGCATTGCAGTACACAACACAACAGCTGAGAACGATCAAGAGTCCCATCTATCCATCTACCTATCAGCCTGCATGCCTGCCTACGTATCTTCCTATCTTTTTTGTCTGCCTTCAAATATGTATATTCGTCTAGTCGACTACCGTAAGGGGCTCTAGGTTGATGCCATTTTTTTATGTCCAGCTGTCCAGCTGTATCTAGATGGCTGTCAGCCTGGCCAGCTAGCTAGAAAAGTAAATGGAAAGGTAGCTCTGGATAGCCTTGCTGTCACCCTACTTGCAGACATGGGGTTTGCAAGGAGGTGGTAAAAATAGAAAATTTACGAATGAGGAGACATCATGTCGTACAGTCGTACACAACGAGGTGATGAGTCTAGAAGGAAACGATCGACGGAAGACTTGCGGGTCGTACGTTGCATTTTATGGCAAGGTACGACCGTAACCTTGAATGTGGCTGAAGGAAGCTTGGGTGGGTGTGACCGGAGCATCCAGAACTTGGTTATGGGTGCTTGGCTTAGGGTTTGGGCAGTGGGGTGAGGGGGATGAAGCGGGCGGGAAGGAAAACAGCATGTACGGCACGGCACAGGACCGGGTGCGCCGCGCACAGCGGTAATATTGACAATAATGATCATTATAATCATACAAACAATAAAAAGATAACAAACAGCAAATGGTATGTACACACATACCGACACACGCCTGTGGAGTCTCCTGGCGAATGGTGTTTGATGCTTTGAAGGCAGGGGGACAGGGCTTTAATTACGAACACCAAACTGCCAATTGTTTAGATCCCCATTTGGTCCATTATTGCCCTGTCATTATTGCCCTGTCTTGCGAATCACGTACGCTCTCGCCAACCTAGGAGCATTGGTCCGGCAAACGTACGTACGGAAGCGGTGTATGCGTCCATGTCTGCATGTGTGCGGGCGCGAAGACGCCGCCGGCTGCTGCGTGTTATCATTCGCGCAGAAGGCCATGGAGGCACCATGCAGCTGCGGTGCGGTACATGCGCTTTTTATGAATCGAGGCAGGTACAGCTAATTAGCGGCGGTTGGTACTCGCAGCTGCTACACTACTACTTCTACTACTACCACTGCCGGCAGCAGACCTTGGCCCTGTTGGTGTTGAATTATTATTGTATGTAATAAATTCGCCGCAGAACTAGTGCCCGTTGGAAGCAAGGCAAAAGTATGTACACTACCACACCAGTAAGGGACCGTGTGCCCGTTCGCTCGAGTCAACTATTGTAAACCCCGGCGCGCAGTAAAAGGGAGATGGCTCCGGGCAATCAACATTTGTCACAACAAGCAACAAACAAGTCGGTCAATCGACAATCGCAATACAATCGCAACAAGCGCGGCGGAGTCCCTCATTAGGCGGAGGGTTCCGTCAAAGCGGGGAGAACCATGTACCGTTCATAAAAGTTAATATTACGGTGTCGGTGGGGCGACACTGTCGTCATCCTACCGGCCGCGTTAGAGAGTGAAGCGCCGTTTAGCGCTGCATGACCTGTCTCCCAGACCTCGGAAAGGTCTATAGGTTGTGACGTGCGCCCGCTGCTGCGACAGCTTCTCAAGGTCCTGACCTATATACGTCCTGACCTACCCCACCCCGCAGGACGAGCAGCTAGCTGCATGTCTGGGCCTCAAATTCAACTGTATAATTAACAACAGTGTTGTACTAGTAGTATTAATCGTTTACATTGGCCATCCTCCTCTTTCTCCTCCTCACTCCCGTCCCCGCACGTCCCTCTGGAGATTTTCGTCCTCGCAAAACTGTGTAGAAAAGCCGTAGACACACGACGATGACGATGATGATGACAATTGTAATCGTGGAGGACAGTCGTACGATCACTGTCGTACATCCGCGAGACGCTCCAGGACCTTGACAGTTAGTTGCCAGAACGGCTCCACCGTTGAGATCTTAATAATGTTAAAGTTACCAAGGGAGAGGGGGGGGAGGGGAGGGGAGGGGAGGGGAGGGGAGGCAGCCGGGGAGGAAAGGAAAAGAGGGAACACATCCTTGGATTTCATCTCACGTGCTGAAGGACGTGGTGGCGTGGGGTTTCGGGAGGCGGCCGTCACCACAACCACTTTTTTCACTCTCCACTTTTCACCCTCCCTCCCTCCCTCCCTCCATTACAACAAGAATGCGCTTGACAAACATGTGCGGTACGGATGCCCCTGAAAGCAACTACGACGGACAACATCACGAAATCAAACCCTTAAACCCTGAACACCCTATTTACCTGGACCCTCTCCTCGAGCGAATGCGCCCCCTTGATGGTGGGTCTGCAACGTGAAACCCAGGGGGTTGGAAAGGGTGCAGACTTGTCTCTGTTTGTTCGTCCAGTTATCTGTTGGTTAGTTTGTCTCTCTTCGCGAGCGCTCATCGCGAAGTGCCGCATCACCCTAAATCCTAAAACCCCGACAACAAAAGACGCGCACAGAAGAGCAACGCGAGGAACACGTCTTAGAGTTCAGGGAGTGCAATTTGGGCTGCAGTAGAATGATGACGTCGTGGACTGAGGGGCGCGTGTGTGCGTGTGTGTTTTACCCGGCTAAACCACGGGGAGGTAGGAGTGACTGGCCGGCTGCAGCGGGAGGCGGTAAACGTGAGGACGATGGGGGCGGAAAGGGGGGAAGGGGGCCCCCAACAGTTAGAACACACCGCAAGCTGCAATACACATACACACACACACGCACGCACGCACCCGAACGAAACCATGTCCATGCCCGGGAACTTCTTCCCCAGGATTCCGCATTCAAGACCCGCGTGAATGGCTCCAACCTGTACGGAAGTGTACGGATACACGGGAGAAATGCATGCGCGCATTCATGCGTCCAAAGGTTGGAATATAAATTACATAGGGGGCCATCAGTGGGAATGCGGAGTTACGTGTGTGTGTATATATGCGCGTCAGCAATTTTTCACACAGCAGAAACGGCGGAGGAGGGCCTTACAACGAGCTCTCCCCCCTCGCTCCTCCCCTCACTTCCCCCCTCACTTCCCCCCTCACTTCCCCCCTCACTTCCCCCCTCACTTTCCCCCGCACTCGCTCACCTTGGCGGACTTGTTTCCCCCGAGCACCTCCCCGTAGACCTCCCGGACCACCTGGGGGGGCCGGAGAGGGGGGGGGCATAAGGGGAATATCACAACACAAAAGTGAGGAAACAAGTGGTGAAAAAAGGTTGTGACGGCGGTGTTGGTTTGCTAGTGCGATACAGATGCGAGCTGTGAGGACATCGCCTCTCCTAACGGTCAGAACTAACGGCAGAAGCGCGTTATGTACGGCAGTATAAGCCGTACTAACAAATTATGGTCATGTTGCTTGGTTGGTTGGTCGCATCAACAGTAAAGGGAAACGGCAACGAGCGGGCGGGCGAGCGGGGTGGGCGGGTTGAGGGAGGGCAGGGGGAAAGGATGCTGAGTGGTGAATGGGGGGTCCGGTCCGCGGAGAAACACCTTCCGCCACGGGCCCCCACCCCTACCACGTCCATAAACCCCCAACCCAACCCCCCTTTATCTACAACTTATCGGTGCTTTGCACAAAGCTTAACGCCATATACACAGCGTAAGTATTATTGTTTAAAAATATCACCCATGCGCACCTGGAGCACCTTGCTGTCCAAGTTGGGTTGCCAACCGGGGTAGGCCTCACCCCGCTGCACCTCCACACAGCCCGCCAGAGTCGCCAGGCCCTACGATGGGGGATGTTGTTTGGGGACCCGCTGAATAGAGGGGACCTTGGCGACCCGGGTGGGGCTAGGCTGGGATAGGGTGCGAGCTGCGAGGAGTGGCAAACACACATACACACACATACACACACGCATGCACACACGGCACATACATAAGAAGCACCTCATCCCCACCAGCACTGGTAACGGCGACAACCTGACCACCAATCCACCATGCCGACCGAGTATAAATATCCAAACATACGGCAAGATACGGCACAGTACGACATTGTACCTGGATGACGTCACGTGTAGCCTCCAGGGAGGGCGTCAGGGAGGAGCGAACGGTGTTGGTGATGACGTAATGCCGGAAGGAGGGCAGGGAGCAGGGCGCCTGTGGGAGGGGGGAAAGTGGGAAGGGGGGAGGGTTGGAACGGGGGGTTTAGGTCTTCCTTTGGGTCCTCTGGAAACATTTTTTAGGTCAAAAAGAGGTTGAAGCTCTCGCGGGTTGTTGGCTGTGGGGCAGGTACGCCTCGATGCAGCCGGTGGCCGCTTCCCCTCGACCCAGTACTGCGCATCAAGGCACGCGATGCGACCGTGGACCACCCATTCCTCGCCCCGGCAGGTTTGTGCGCTCTTCGCCCTCTGTCATCCGCCAACCTCCCATCATCTCCCTGTCATGGCTCCTGCCTCCTTTTAGCAGCAGCTGCAGCTGCAGCAATAATTGGATTTTACGCAAACAAGATTTGAAGTTTGGATTTATAACGCCGTACAGAGCTCACCTCCTTTATGGATGCGACATTGTTACTCGTCTCCACCAGGCCTATATTTAGTTAGGCAGTTAGGCAGTTAGGCAGGCAGTTGGGGTTTCGTGGACTAGGGAACAGGGTGAGAAGGAAAAGGAGGGAGGAGCCGCTCATCCACCTACACACAATATGCACGCAAATGGAGGAAATAATGTTTGCCGCTTACTAAATTTAAATTCAAATTTGAAAAATGCGCGGGCCCTCTCTACCTAAACCCCCGGGGATGTTGGGATCCTATGATCTTGGAATGCAAACAAGCAACGAGCTTTCAACGAAGCAGCTTTTGGTCAAATTTAGGAATGAATTGTCGCTCAGTGCAATGAAAGATTGGATGCCGTACAACCCACCCGGTACGGCATGTGAGAACTTGATGGGCCCATGCGGCAAGCCGCGCAACAGCGCCAACAGTCTCTCCACGTCAGCCGGGGACACCACGCTCTCCACGGCAGGCACGTCCTGGAGCCCCGGCACCAGCTCAAGAGTCAAACCCGTCTCTATTGCGCCGTATTCCGTACGGAGTTCGTCCAGCAGAGTCTGTACGGCAGCGGCCACGGCGGCCTGCTTGTCTTCCGCTACCTGCAGTAGGCAAACACCGGGCGGTAGGTATGTGAATAAGGGCTGGGGGACGACATGGAGGTACGCAATGCTCTGTTTAATTTTCCACTTTGCGGATTAGTGATTCGAATCCTTAAAAGGTTCCGGGATCGATTCCGACAAGGAGCAAGGTAAGAATAAGTGGGTGGATGCCCCCCACATGCCGATGGACGGTGATGGACCCTCCCGGTAAAATAGTGAAATGGAGAATTAATACCGTAGTTGATCCGGGGGCAGATTTCCCTGGATGTCAGTGGTGGTAGTGGTGGTTGCTGAACACCCGAAAACAGACTTAAATGACTTAAGGGTGAGGAGACGGTTGAGAGTGCCCCGAAACGGGGAACGTTAGGGTGCCAGCAGGCTACTGGGCAAGGGTGAAGCTATAACTCCCCATCTTTAAAGAACCGTACATACATATGCACGTACATGCACGCAGGAAAACATGCACACACGCTGTCGTACTGGTGAGAAAACTCACCAGTACGACAGCGGACGCATCTCGCGCGATTGCGTTGCGTTTGTCGCCGCCGTTAATTTCCGCCAGCCGCCAGCCGTCCGGCCCCGCCGCTGCCGCCACCGCCGCCAGCGCCCTTCCCATCAGCTGTACGGCATTGCCTCGACCTTCGTGAATATTGAGACCGCTGTGGCCGCCCAGCAGGCCCCCTAGCTTCAACTGCTGAGGGGGTTTGGGAGGGGGCTGAGAGGGTTAGGAAGAGAGGTAGGGAGAGAGGTAGGGAGAGAGGTAGGGAGGTAGGGAAGGAGAGGTAGGGTAGGTAGCGCGGGAGGGAGAGGTTGCTCAAGGAGGAAAGATAAGCTTGTTTACTCGTAGCTATCCTTCTTCCCCACAGCCTTTCTGTCCCACTACCCAACCCCCAGGCTGGGAAAAGCGAGCCTCAGGTCCCCGCGCCGTGCCACCATCATTATAATGATGACCACCACGATGGACGTGATCATCATTGTACACATCCGCACGCCCGTACGCACTGACAGATAGACAAACAGACAGACAGTTTAATTGGGCGTGTGGGTTACCGCAGTACTCCCCACCGTGTGCGCCGTCATGGCGGCAGCGGAAGAGGATGACGATGGCGGGGGCTCCAGCGCTACCCTCAGCACCAAACTCATGTCGCCACCTCCCGCGCAACCGATGAAGATCTCCCCCCAGTCTTCTGCAAAGGGGGGAAAGGGGGTGAGGGTGAGGGCGAGGGTGAGGGTGAGGGCGAGGGTGAGGGTGAGGGCGAGGGTGAGGGTGAGGGCGAGGGCGAGGGGCAGGAGAAGAAGGGACTCCGTGTTACTCCGGGAGAGAGGTGGTAGATGGAAGAAGGCGTTCGGGAGGAAACTGAGGCAGCGGGCTACTCGCACCGCACACGGCACCGGTGTTTAGCGGGATATGGGCCTCATGAAAAGGGTAGGGGTCGTGGGGCTGAGAAAGCGACAGAAACCTGCGCTGTTGTGTGTGTATGGAAAATGCGGAGGGCGAAGAGCCGGCGGGCGGCAGCTATTAGATGGCATGGGGGCCGGGACGGGGGGTTAGCTGGCAAAGGAGGAGGGGGAAGAGGAGGAAGAGGCTGTGGCAGCAGACATACACCACCTTCGCACCTTCGCATCGCGCACGGACGGGGTCCCGAACGGGGGCTGAGTGCGACTCAGCCCAAGAAAGAGCGCTAGGCACCCCGCACCGGCCATCTCCCCATAGGAGCCTCACATTTCCTCCTGCATTACCGGTCTAAGAAACCTTGGAGTATCCGTCCGTTTGATATTTTCTTTTCGTCAATCGTCCGTGCTTCGTCGTAGCCCGCATGAAAGCCCTACATGCCAGCTTACCCCCCCACCCCCACACACACTTAATCCCGCCCCCTCGCACACAGCCGCTCGGACACATAGCCACTCGGACCGACCAGAGTCCAGGTTGAGCATCGTACGACCAGTGAGTAGATCCGGAGCAATCTGGAAGGCGCCTGCAGGCCGTACATGTTGTACACACCGTACGTAAAATGAGTCAATTTTTGGTGGGGGGGAGACGGAGGGGAGATCTTTTATTGTCTGCAAGGCAAGACACTTATAATCACAGGACTGACAACATGACGAGTTCTTATTGTACGGCATATCGTACACTTGCCTGTGAGGCCGGTCTCCTCGTCCACAGTGAACAGGCACTCCAGGGGGGGGAGTTTGGCAGTTGGTGGGGAGGACAGTAGCGCCAGGGCCGCAGCCACACCTGCGCACACATGTACATGTACGTGCGTGTGTGTATATCTGTGTGTATATCTGTGTGTATATCTGTGTATCTATTACTTATCGATCCGGGCCTGACGCTGGCCAGGGCCACCTAACCGTATACCCCAACGGGAACGACGGGCAAAGCACTTCATCAGTGGAGGGGCCAATGTCGGTCAGAATCCTATCCGTTCTCCTTTATCAACGCAAGGCACCGTTACCTGTTCGAATCCTCTAGCCAGCTACATGTGTATACATATATATGTGTGTGTGTATACTTGTGTGTGATACTGATGTGTGTGTGCGTACGCGCGCGCTCAAGTGCAACAGTGTTATGCGTGTTGTGCTTGGTTCTATCCAGACACAGACACACACAAACATGGATCGATCAGGGGCAGGGTTAAAGTCGGGCACACAACAAACATCATGCCGAGTGGGGTGGGGTGGGGTTGAGTGGGGTGGGGTGGGGCTGAGTGGGGTGGGGTGGGGCTGAGTGGGGTGCAGCCCAGTGGGGAAACAAGTGCGAAAGGTCCCACCCACCACCGCCACCCCCAAACTCACCGCGGCCCGCACTCCACCCGCCCAGCCACCCACCGCCCCAACCGTACCCCAAACCGTCTCCCTCCCCCCCCCCCCGCAGCCCCCCAGCCCCCTACCCACAGCCACTCACCAATGCCGTTATCGGCCCCCAGGGTGGTCCCACTGGCCTGGATCCAGTCCCCCGCACGTCTGAGCACCAACGGGTCGCGCAGGAAGTCGTGGGTTACGGAGGGGTCCTTCTCGCACACCATGTCCACATGAGCCTGAGGGGGCCACGGGCGGTTCGGGAAGGGGAAAAGCATGGAGACGCAGTACAGACGCGGTACAGACGCAGTACAGACGCGGTACAGACGCAGTACAGACGCGGTACAGACCGACAAGGCGGAAAGAGCAAAAAGCAGCTGCTTGAAACCTGGGCTGAATTACCGGAGGCACCACAAGGGTACTGAGGTGAGGTGAGGATGGGCCTCTGAAGGAGAAGCTGCTGTTCCATCCTTGCTGGCGCCGAAAACATACAACCATTGCACCCGGGGCCCGGGGGCGGAGGAGGGGGGGAAGACGAACCACGAGCGAGTGAAACTGATGAACATGGAAGGACTGAATTGCAGACAGAAGTAAAGAAGGCGTAACTAACCAGTCGGCGGTTTAGTCTAGTCGGAAGAGATGGGGGGAGCGGGAGGGACGGAGGGGAGGGAGGGTGGGAGGAAGGGGAGGGAGGGTTGGGCTGCTGAACCCCGGAGGAGGCGCTGCTGCTGCCAGTTGGCCACTTAGCACCACTGACCCATGGGTCGTCCATCGTCGTCGCCACCGTCGCCATAACTTTACCCTTGGCCCAGGCCGCACAGCTGGATGGACAAACAGACTCACGCAGGGCCAGGCGGGAAACCCCATCCGCTGCACCCACCCACCCTAATGAAATATTCAACGGGCACCGAGATATAAAAGCGGAAAGGGTCGGAATGGCCAACACGTGCCTGTTTGAACCATACGGGATCAATCCCACTTCCCACTGACCCACGGGTCATCAAGTTCACCTGGGTTGCGCGGGCTTCAATAGGCAATTATCAGAACCGGCTCATCTACAACCGAAGCAACCCACAGTGCTTTAACCCGGGATAGCGCCAACCGCGATTTTGTAACGCCAACCTGAATGACGACGCACGGCGCCGCCTCGGCGGCGAGCCCTGACCCTGGCCGGCGAATGACCAGGTTGCCCACGGCGTCCTGCTGCCACGTCAGCTGCCGTTCCGCAGCAAAGTCCTTTAGGTACTGCAGCACCCTGCAAGTGAGTGAGCGAGTAAGTATGTATGTCTGTAGAGTTCGATTATTCGTCACTTGTACATGGAGAGGGTGAAAGTGTGCGCGGCCCTCTGGCTAGCCGATGTGAAACAGTGTGATCGCGAAAGATTGTGTTTTATGCTAGTGAGCTGAGCTGACGCGGCGTGCTGGAGGAATGCTGGAGGAAGCGTTTCCAGTGCGTGTGTGCGTATGTCTGTGCGTATGTCTGTGTGTGTTTTATGAGTGGGGATTATGCGGGGTGATGCACATGGGTGGCTCGGCGTGGCGGGTAGCGCGGGTGAATGGCAGCGGGAGCAGTGGATTTGGGTATGTAGATGTTCAGGGAGGGAGCCTTGTCGAGACTTAGGCAGGACCGGAAGTCAGAGGGGGCAACCCCGAAGGATTCGGTGGTGCAGTCTTTTTGGATACAAAGCGAAATAGCAGCAAGAGCAGACGTGAGCGGAGAATCAGTTGGACGGTAGGACCGCGGTCGGTTTCGGCGGAAGAATGGACCACAGAAGGATGGACCACAGAAGAATGGACCACGGTGTTCGCTGACCCACCGGTGCTCATGCTTTGACGGGCGAGGGATTTGCGTCAAGTCCTTGAAATACCGCCAAAGGAGCTCAGGTTGCAGACCAGCGGTCACATCGTCGGGCACCATCCCCTCGCAACTTAAAATCGGTGTTGCAGATGCTGAAGTTGAAACAGCACGGCGTACAAATGTATTAAATGCAGATCTAAGGTCACTCGCTAATGGTCGACAGCTGCAAGGAAAACGAGTTTGAGACAGCATTCACTTGCAGGTATGTTTGTGACGGTTTTGAAACTATTTATTATTCTTTTGCAGTAGCCATACATTGAATTGAAGTACGCATGAGCCAAAGGCCGGGAACCCGTGATTAAGTGCTCGTCCTGTAGTGCAGTACGGCAAGTGCGGCGCGGGAAGGCGCAGACCAGAATGGGCCAGAGGACAGGGACTGATACGGTAGTTCGTTACAAAGTTTAGCTGGGAACAAAGCGCTGAATCCAGACAACGCAAGTTCGCCAGTCAACCATGCAAGCAAGCGCAAGTCAGAACGTCGTCTGTTGGGGAGTTTGAATTGTTTAAATAGGGATTTACTTTGTATTCGGGACCCAGCTCAATAGGAAAGTAGATAAGGCGATCCGACGTTGCTGGCATATCGGTCGCCAGTAACAGCGAAGTGATGGCAGAGCGCGAGGAATCGCGCGGCGGAGTCCAAGAAGGCTTGGAGGACATCATTCAACAGCGAGACGAAGGAGGACGTCAGAATGGCGGACCAACTAGTTACCCGGAGGGGGCCTGTAGGTTCATCCGAAGGAGGTCTCGCGAAGGGCCGAGCTACCGTGTGGAGCTGCATTCTATCCGGAAGGCCAGCCCCAGGGGCATGCTTTCGCGCAGCGAAGCGCCCAGGCTGAGGCGCCTTAGGACGTTAGGTTTGGTTGCAAGCATCCGGAAGGCCAGCCCAGCGGGTATGCTGTCGCGCAGCGAAGCACCCAGGCTGATTTGCCTTGGGCCGGCAGGTTTTGGTCGCATGCATCCGGAAGGCCAGCCCCAGCGGGTATGCTCTCGCGCGGCGAAGCACCCAGGCTGAGTTGCCTTGGGCCGGCAGGTTTTGGTCGCATGCATCCGGAAGGCCAGCCCCAGCGGGTATGCTCTCGCGCGGCGAAGCACCCAGGCTGATTTGCCTTGGGCCGGCAGGTTTTGGTCGCATGCATCCGGAAGGCCAGCCCCAGCGGGTATGCTGTCGCGCGGCGAAGCACCCAGGCTGAGTTGCCTTGGGCCGGTAGGTTTGGTCGCAAGCATCCGGAAGGCCAGCCCCAGCAGGTATGCTCTCGCGCGGTGAAGCACCCAGGCTGAGTTGCCTTGGGCCGGCAGGTTTTGGTCGCATGCATCCGGAAGGCCAGCCCCAGCGGGTATGCTCTCGCGCGGCGAAGCACCCAGGCTGAGTTGCCTTGGGCCGGTAGGTTTGGTCGCATGCATCCGGAAGGCCAGCCCCAGCGGGTATGCTCTCGTGCGGCGAAGCACCCAGGCTGAGTTGCCTTAGGCCGGTAGGTTTGGTCGCATGCATCCGGAAGGCCAGCCCCAGCGGGTATGCTCTCGCGCGGCGAAGCACCCAGGCTGAGTTGCCTTAGGCCGGTAGGTTTGGTCGCAAGCAACCCGGCAGGCCCGCCACAGGGGCATGCTCCCGCGCAGGGTTGGATTACCTTGAACCCGCCTGCATGGATCCGCTTCTGGAAGGCCAGCACTAAGGGTGGTTGCCCTCGCTTAGCGAATACCCAGGTTGGGTTGCCTGAGGCCGTTAGCCTTGACCCAGAGAATGCCTTCACGACGCAATGGAACCGCGTACAGGAAAGGGACAAGGAAGGCTCAGAGGAGGGACAGGAAGAGTCGTCAGACAGCGACGACGCCCGCAAAGAGGCTTCATCGGCGAAGGCGAATAGGCGAAGCAAGGGTAAGCGGCTCCGTACGCGAGGACTTGGAGTCGTGGCCCCATCCCCAAAGCGCGTGGCGGTGACGCGGCTACCGTTGCACGGACCGGTACGAGTGAGGCCGCCGTCGGAGGCGCGGACTGAATTTGCCGGGGAAGAAGTACCACGGGACTCAAGACAGGGCCAGGGAGACCCGGAGCGTGAAGAGAGGCGGATCGTGGCGCGGTATATCAGGCGGTACGGCATGGAAGGCTGGAAGCAACTGCTGCGCGAAGAACTCCAGGAAGAGGGAGAGGGGGAGCAGCAGCAGTTGGACGAGGGGCCGAACGTGGGGCCTCGAGGAAAGCAGCCCAGCAACGCGGGGGCAGGAACAATGCACCAGGTGGCCGCTGCTGGCCCGGAGGGGCAGCTCGCAGTTTACAGTGTCGTCACAGAAAAGGACGTCCAGGAGGCTCACCGCCGCCGTAAGGAGGCACTTAGGGCCGCTCGGAAGGCGCTGAATCTCGGGGAGTCGGACCGCGTCCCCAACACCCAGCGGTGGGCGACCGTCATGACCCAGGCTGGGGCAATGACGGAAGGCCCATGCGGGCTGCGGGTGGTGAAATCCGCGGTATCGGCGATGCTGGAGCAGGCGGAAGAGGCGGTTGTAGACGCTTTGGCCAATGTGGGCCCAGGGCTGGTCACGGAGCTGCGTGCGTGCTTTAGTGGTGCAATAGAGCCGCATCGTCGCGGAGTGCTAAAGTTTATAGGTCAGCAGGCCAAGCAGGCCTCGAAGGAGCGCTTTGTAGGGCAGGTAACGGGACACCTGGTACAGTGGGGCTGGGTGGAGACGAGTCTGGCGACATTGAAGTTGCGGGCTCGTGATGCACGGCTGCACTGGTTGGAGGGCGCACTACAGGCCGTGAACGTGAGCACGCCGACGTTTCTGGAGATGAAGGAGCGCGCCTGGCCGGCCGTGATCCTGTTGATGCGCGCG